TGCCCCAATAGCGTATTATGTTCTCGTATCGAGCTAATGTTTCTGCATCTCGAAATCTTCGCACACCTCCTATTAGCTCTCTAGTGCGAGTTGTGCCGGAGGAGGAACCAACTTTTTCTTTACCTTTTGATGTTCTCTTCGGCGGCATCCTACAAAAGTAAGGAACAAAGTGTATCAAGTTCTTGAAATAAGAAAACGATAACGAATATCATTGACATGCAAGAATCCCCCAAACTTTCTTCAAAATGTGTGCAATATTCAATGCATGGAAGTCAATGTAACATCAATATTGCATTAATGAGAAAAACTCAAAACTATGGCTCTAACATGCAATTTTTGAAAATTCGACCCATGATTAAGTGACCAACTTCAGCCCCGAGCATCACCGAGAAATATTAAAATTTCCCCGGACAAGGTCTAGACATATGAAAGTACTCATTGTGGTCTAGCATATATCCAAATTTCACTACAATCGGAGGTCGTTTGGTTAGAAAAATACATGGACGAATTTAGTGACGTGAGTTGACATGGCTTAGCAAGTATGTGGTTATGTGCACAAAAATGTGAGGAGAATATTTTCTAATGAAATTCCATGAGATTTCTCGTCTATTACGCCTCACATTAACAATGTAAATCATCACACAAATGAATAGTCCAAAATTTCAAATCATATGTCTCATTGACATTTAATCAAACACGTTGTGTGCATTGGAAATTTTTATCACTTTGTTTTTTATATACACTTAGGGCTAGTCCACAAATCACAATTGAATCACAATTCAACACTCAACCAATTCGAAAATGGTAATAAAATCTAAGAATAGCTTCAAACTTTGCATAGAAATTAAATTTCTTACCTTGAGAGTTTTTGTGAAAGGAAAGTGGATGGTTATGCTCCAAAATTCTTGATAACAATGCCAATGATGTGAATAATGTTGGGTTAGGGTGAAGATGTGACGTGTGTTGGTGAGGTTGTGCTTGTGTGAAGGTGGATTTGGGAGGGGGAGGGGGGAAATGGCGTGTTCGTGTGCTTGTGTGGGTGTGGGGGAAATGGGGAAGATTTGCAAGTGACGGGTTTAAAACCCGTCACTTAGACACCATGCGGCCGCATGGTGTAATTGGTCTCCCCCCAAATTGGTTTGGTAAGGGTCCATGCGACCGCATGGACAAAGCCCAAATTTTTTTTTAAACTAAAGCAAACTTACAATTATAACCCCAAACACACCTTGAAATTTAAAAATCCCCCAAAATTGGTTTTCAATTTCAAAATTGACTCGACTCGCCATATTCTGAAAAATAAATTTTTTTTTTGAAAAACATCTCGAAAAATAAAACGAACGACTTTGAACCACGAAATTCATTACTTCACACTCAAACACCCAAAACACTTTCTTTAACCCCGACTCATACAACTATAAACGTGTAGTGCCTAGACTATCATGCGTGAATGATCGATGACCTAATAAAACATACGAAATGTAAACAAATTCCTAAACAAATGCAATAAAATAAATTGAAGGATACAGTTGGTTGCCTCCCACCCAGCGCTAGTTTATAGTCGATAGCTCGACTTTCCTGTATTTTCTTCACGTTAGGTTGTTGAGTTGCACAGTGGACTTCTACTTAGGGAAATTACAGTCCCAATAATATTTTAGTCTTTGCCCATTGACGATGAAAGTGCCTTTGGTCTCGTGACTCACTTCAATAGCCCCATATTTCATCACCTTAGTTATGGTATAGGGACCCGACCACCTTGTTTTTAGCTTTCCTGGGAAGAGTTTGAGGCTAGAATTGTACAGTAACACTTTCTGGCCAACTTCAAACTCTCGCCTCTGAATGTGTAAATCATGCCATCTCTTGGTGCACTCCTTGATCAACTTTGAGTTCTCGTAAGCTTCCATTCTCATCTCATCCAATTCATTAAGTTGCAGCAGTCGTTTTTCACCGGCAGCCTTGAGATCCATATTCAACTGTTTCATAGCCTAATATGCTCGGTGCTCCAACTCTAATGGTAGATGACACACTTTCCCAAACACCAGGCGGTATGGAGACATTCCTATTGGTGTCTTAAACGCTGTTCTGTAAGCCCACAGTGCATTGTCCAACTTCTTAGACCAATCTTTTCGGGATGAGTTCACTGTAGCTTCCAGTATTCTCTTTAACTGCCTGTTCAAAACTTCAATTTGCCCATTGGTTTGTGGATGGTATGGAGTTGCTACTTTATATTTCACCCCTTATTTGTTCAACAGCTGCTCTAATTGACGATTTATGAAGTGTTTGCCCCCATAACTTATTATCGCCCTCGGTGTACCATATCTTGTAAATATGTACTTCTTCAAGAACTCTATCACCACTTATGCGTCGTTAATAGACAATGCAACAGCTTCCACCCACTTAGAGACATAGTCAACGGCCACCAAGATATATTGATTTGAGTACGATGGGGGAAAAGGTCCCATGAAGTCTATTCCCCATACATCAAATATTTCAACCTCCAAGATGTAATTTAGTGGCATCTCATTTCTTCTTGAGATATTTCCGGTTCGTTGACATTTATCGCATCTCTTCACATACTCAAATGTGTCTCTGAATAAAGTAGGCCAATAGAAACCCGACTGTAGTATCTTTGCAGCAGTCTTTGAAGCTCCAAAATGCCCAGCATATGCAGAAGAGTGACAATGTTCTAGAATCTTCGGTACTTTATCTTCAGGAATGCATCTTCTGATTATCTGATTTGCGCCTCTTCTGTAGAGAATGGGATCCTCCCAAAAGAAATACTTCAGCTCTGGGAAGAACTTCTTTCTTTGATGGCTAGAATACTCTGGTGGCAGGATGGACTTAGCAAGGTAGTTAACAATATCAGCGTACCATGGGACTATTTCTACTCCAAAAATTTGCTCATCTGGAAAGATTTCATTGATGTCAACTGACATCTCAGGTTCATCCCGTTCCAATCCTGATAGGTGGTCTGCTACCACATTTTCACTGTCCTTCTTATCATTGATCTCGATATCGAACTCTTGCAACAACAATATCTAGCGGATCAATCTCGGCTTACATCCTTCTTTGTCATAAGATACTTCAGAGCGGCATGATCTGTGTAGACGATGACCTTAGACCCAACAAGATACGATCTGAACTTGTCGAATGCATAAACCACAGCTAGCAATTCCTTCTCGATCGTCGCATAGTTGATTTGGGCGTCGTTCAAAGTTCTACTTGCATAGTATATCACATGAAAGTTTTTATTCTTTCTTTGTCCCAATACCGCACCAACTGCATGGTCACTCGCATCGTACATTAGCTCAAAGGGTAAATCCCAATCAGTTGACACAATCACAGGCGCTGTTGTGAGTTTTTCCTTCAAAGTATTGAACGCTATCAAACATTCCTCATTAAACTCAAAAGATGCCTCTTTCATTAGCAAGTTGCACAGAGGCTTGGTGATTTTGGAGAAGTCCTTTATAAACCTCCTGTAAAACCGTGCATGCCCAAGGAAGCTTCGAACTCTTTTATTGATGTAGGTGGTGGTAATTTCTCAATAACCTGAATTTTCGCCTTATCCACCTCTATCCCCTTTGCCGATACTCTATGTCCCAAGACTATTCCCTGTTGAACCTTGAAATGACATTTCTCCCAGTTCAATACTAAGTTCGTTTCTCTGCATCTTTGCAAAACCAAGTTTAAGTGATCCAAACACTCATCAAATGAGATCCCAAAGACCGAGAAGTCATCCATAAAGATTTCAATGAATTTCTCCACCATATCTGAGAAAATTGCCATCATGCATCGCTGAAATGTGGTAGGAGCGTTGCAAAGTCCAAATGGCATTCTTCGGTATGCGAAGGTACCATAGGGGCATGTGAAGGTGGTCTTCTCCTGATCATTCGGTGTCACTGGTATCTGATTATAACCCGAATACCCATCCAGAAAATAGTAATGGGAATGGCCTGCCAATCTCTCCAACATCTGATCTATAAACGGAAGAGTGAAGTGATCTTTCCTTGTAGCGGTATTTAGTTTATGGTAATCAATGCAAACTCTCCACCCTGTTACCGTCCTTGTCGGAATCAACTCATTCTTTTCATTTTGAACCACTGTAATTCCCCCTTTCTTGGGCACAACTTGCACTGGACTAGTCCATTTACTATCTGATATCGGGTAAATTATTCCAGCATCCAGAAGTTTGATCACCTCAGCTCTTACTACTTCCTTCATGTTTGGGTTTAGCCTCCTTTGACTTTCAACTATTGGTCGAAAATTCTCCTCCATGAGAATTTTATGCATACATAAGGAAGGGCTGATCCCTTTGATATCAGCTATGGTCCACCCAATTGCTTGCTTGTTATCTCGAAGCACCCTAAGCAGTTTTTCCTCCTCCACTTCACTAACCATGTTTGAAATTATCACTGGAAGTGTATTGGACTCCCCCAAATATGCATATCTTAAATGTAGGGGGCAGTTGCTTAAGTTCCAACTTTGGTGGCTTCAGAATAGATGGCTGTGATTTCTCTGGCCCTATCCCAAGCTCCTCAAAGTATCGTTTCCGCGTGTAAGGTGGGTTGGACTCCAAAAATATTGCACACATTTCTATGTCCACAGAATCAGAATTTGTAGATTTAGAATGTACAATGCAGGCCTCCAATACATCTGATGGATGTTGCAATGTAAACGACTCTTCAATCATTTTATCAATCATGTCGACCCTGAAACATCCGTCAGTCTCTATTGGCAGTTCCATAGCCTTGAAGACATTGAATGAAACCTGTTCTTCTCCCAAGCTCAATATCAACTGCCCATTCTGAACGTCGATCAAAGCTCTGCCTGTGGCCAAGAATGGTCTTCCCAGTATTAAAGGAACATCTTTATCTACTTCCATATCCAGAATCAGAAAATCTGCTGGAAATATGAATTTCTCCACTTTAACCAATCCGTCTTCAATTATTCCTCGTGGATGTGTCAATGATCTGTCTGCCAACTGTAAGGTCACCGTGGTAGCTTTAGCTTCTCCCAATCCTAATTTCCTAAAAACAGACAATGGCATTAAATTAATACTTGCACCAAGATCACATAAAGTTTTATCAAAATAAAATTCACCAATGGTACAAGGGATAGTGAAACTCCCTGGATCTTTCAATTTTGGCGGGAGCTTTCTCTGAATCCTTGTACTGCACTCCTCTATTAACATAACTGTCTCGTGATCTCCTAGCTTCCTTTTGTTTGATAGGATGTCTTTCAGGAATTTTACATAGCTAGGCATCTGAACTAGTGCTTCACCGAATGGAATGTTGATATGGAGTTTCTTGAAGACCTCGAGAAACTTCTTGTATTGTTGTTCCATCTTTTGCTTCTCCAACCTCTGTGAAAACGGTATGGGTGGCTCATATGAGTTCACAGTTACAGTCTCTTTATCCCTTGAGTTTCCTTTATTTGCTCTTGGTGTTGGCTCTTTTGTCTGCTCTTCTTGCTCCAAAATCTCTTCTACTTCAGGAGACATCTCTTCTCTGTTTGCCACGGGATTAATCACTTGTCTCTCAGGTAATTCCACTCCACTTCTCGTTGTTATAGCCTTTGCATGCTCTTTCGTATTGACTTCTGTGTTACTTGGCAAACTGCTTGGTGCTCTACTTGTTAATGCAACTGCCATCTATCCCATCTGAGTTTCCAAATTTTTGATGGCTTCATTCTGGTCCTAAAGAGTGGCTTCTGTCTTCTTCATGAATTGGTTGTTCGCCTCCATATATTGGTTGGTCTGTTCCATGAATTTGCCGAACATTTCTTCCAATTGAAGCTTCTTCTCTTGCTGTTGATATTGCCCCTGTGGCCTATTCTAATTTTGGTTGCTGCAAGAAAAGTTGGGGTGCTTTTTCCAACTTGGGTTGAAGGTCTCTCCATACACGTTATTCTGCTGGCATTGTCCCCATTGAGCAAAATCTGCTTGCTCTTTTCCTTGTGTCAAAATTGGACATTCTACTGTCACATGCTCAGCTCCACATTCCTTATAATTTGCCTTCTTTGTTTGCGCTGCGTTAGGTGACTGGGTAATGTTTTTCACCTTGTGAAATAAGGAATCAATCTTAGCAAATAATGCTGAATATACATCCACTTCATAAACTCCTGGTGTCTTCTTCGGTACTGCTCGTTCCATGGTCCACATTGCTGAGGTTGTAGCCATTGTCTCATATAACTTCAATGCTTCATCAATTGTTTTTGTGGACAATGACCCATTAGCTGAAGAGTCGACCATGCTCTTGAAAGCTGGAAGTAGCCCTGCATAGAAATATTGGACCTGAAGTCCCTTGCTTATCCCATGGTGCGGACACTTCCTTAGTATATTTTTGAATCTGTTCCAAGCCTCATTAAAATTCTCAGATTCACCTTGCCTAAAGATAGATATGTCGTGCTTTAGCTTTGCTATCTTGGCCGGTGGGAAGAACTTAGTACAGAATTTCTGAGCTAGGTCATTCTAGGTAGTAATGCTGGCTATCGGCTAAGAATCAAGCCATTCAGTCGCCTTGTCCCACAAAGTATGTGGAAACAGTCTTACTCTTATGGCGTCGTCAGAGCTTCCTTAATATATGAAGTGTTGGCACATCTCTAAGAAGTGCGACACGTGCGTGTGCGGATTCTCTTCAATTCTTTGATAAAACTGATGTCCGTTCTGGAACAATTGTATCACATTTGTCTTCAACTGGAAATTTGGCTGCCCGAGCGGTGGATATACAATGCTGGACTGGCTTTGAATGATTTGAGGGGACATGAACTCTCCAACGAGCATGTTTCCTTCGTCTTCTTCCCCTCTTTCATTGGCTTGTACAATAGGATTGTGCTGTACGTTCTCCATCTGATTTTTCGCTGCTCTGTTTTCTCTCTACCTTCTTCTGAAGCTTCGTTCAATCTCTGGGTCGGCTGGGAGTAGATCTCCTTCAGCAGATCTTGGCATGCATTTCTGCAATAGAATTCAATTTAAACACTTAAGTAACTAAAATATGCACTTATGTAATAAAACTAAATAGCAATAAAATAAAATGAATTAAAATTAAAATGAAATTAAAAATAAAAAGTTCGAATTAGTGCTAAATTGAATAAAATTAAACGAATACTCAATCCCCGGCAACGGCGCCAAAAACTTCTTCATGAAATAATTCTTTCGATTTAAAATTACCGCAAGTGTACGGATTGTAACAAGTAATAAAGTGGATTTTTAAAAGTCCGAATATCGTCCTTCAGAGATTGAGTAGTTCAGTTCTATATAATCTAGTCTTAATCGAATCTAATTGAGTGAAAATATGGTCTAAATGCAAAAAGCCCTAATTTCTATTGAGAACCCTAATTTCTCAATTAGAAACCCTAATTTCGAAACTACTCTAGTTAAACGACTCAAACACTCAAGTAAATGAAATTATGCCAATTCAAGAGCTAATTTATGGAAATGAATCAAACTAAAATCACTAGGATCACGAATCCCCAATTGAAGTTATAAAAATCCTAATTTCATAAAATCAATGACCCGATGGAAATTTGCCAATTCAATGTTCTTAATTCTATCCAATATATTCTCTCAATATATATTAGACCTATTCTTGCACACCACCAGCCTATATCTCTATGGATGATGCAAATATACAAAAATACATGTGGTTTTGTGAACAATTAAAGAATTGCATAAAGCATAGGAGTATATCTCTATCCCCTATCGGACCCTATGTTGATTTACACCTTATCGAACCTATTCCACTTCTCTCGAATGTAAGAAACAAGTCATCAACACTCACACAATCATTGGCCACTAATTGTGGAAGAAAATTAATGCATATAAACCAATCAAATTATCCAAACGAGTCTTTATATTAAATTCATGAAATATGGAATTAAAATAACAACAATGGTTCATCGATCACCTAATGAATTGAAAACCTAGCCTAGAATATTCATAATTATAAAAAAAATGAAATTAATAAATAAAAAGAATAGCACCCGTATGATAATTTCTTGAAATCTTGAATAAAGCATTGAAAACACGCTTGAATTCTTGTGGAATCGACTTCAACATCGTGTTTCTTGCCTCCAAAAGTTATATTTTTCTTCTCCTTGGATGTTCTACCCTATTTCTGATGAATTTTGGTTTTTATATGATGTCCTCACGGAGCCCCGAAAGAGTTTCAATTAAAAACGGAAGTTCAGAAATTTCTTCGACTTTTAAAGCCATGCGGCTGCATGGTGTTAAACCATGCGACCACATGGTTCAAGTGATCTGCCTCAATAATATCCCTGCCTTCTCATGTGCGGCCACAAGGTTGTAACTTTATAACCTTGCTATTTTGGTCCCTAAACTCCATTTTCTCTTTTCTTGATCTCTTTTCTTTATTTCCTTTGTTCCATTATCAAATATTGACTCCTAATTGATGTTTGGGTTAATAAATTCCTGGATCACTTGCTCGGCTCATCTTTTGATTAATTGCAATTTAGTCCTTCATCTTTCACTTTTTTCAATTCAATCCAATGTTACTTCTTTCTTCCTCTGATCGTCTTGTATTGTCCTCAATCTCATACTTGGCATATTTTCATTCTTGTTCCGCACTTTAGCTCAACTTTTCAATATTTGCACCTTTGGTCCCCGAACTATCGCTTTATTGCATTTTGGTCCTTTTCGGCTCTTTTCTTCTAAATTCCATCTTTTCCATAGAAACACCCACATTGCATGAATTTAACGAGATTAAGTCACAATTCAACTACTTTGTTCATGTTTAAGTCATGTTTGTGAGCTAAATAAGTGTGTAAAAACACACTTATCAATCATCAACCTTGAATCATGGTGAAGATAAAGAATCCCTCTTGCAATCCCCAAGATAATGTCAAACCGCTTCTTACAGTTCAGTAACATGCGTAGTTTTTGATCTTGTAACTTTTTTTGAAAAAATATAATAAATAGTGATTGAAATTGACAATTACATTATAAAATTATCATTTTCATGATCTAACCAAATATAAAGGTATCCAAACTTTTGTTAGGCATGTATTCATAGAGTAAGATCTTTTCATTCTCTTTCATGTAGTAACCTAAAAGGCTTACGAGGTTCCGATGTTGAAGCTTTGTGATCAATACAACTTCATTCCAAAATTCATTAATGCCTTGCACGGAATAACTTGACAACCTTTTCACTGCAATTTCTTGTCCTCCAGGAAACATTCCCTGCAGAAATTGTGAACTAGAATTAATACATTAGAGCACAAACTTTATATGATGATGATGACGACGACGACGACGATAATAATAATAATGGGAAAAACTATAGTAAAACCTTGTAAACAGATCTGAATCCTCCTCAACCAAGTTTGTGTACATATGAAAAGTTCTCTGTAGCGGCTAATATACTTTCCCAACTGTAGAAAGGAACATCAATACCACTCTTGTAAATATCTTCCCCAACTTATCGAAGAAACTTTTGGTTGCAATCTACAAGCTATCTCCCTCGACTGCTTTTGTAGTTCCAAGTGTATGTTTGTGATGTCCCCATGTCAGGAGCCAAACAATGGCCGATAGAACTATAACGACAGCGACGGAACCTACAACAATGCTTATTACAATCCCTTTACCTTTTCTGGTAATCTATTTGGTGCTCAAAAACTGGATGCAGAGGCAGAAAACCGAATATAGATAGTTCTCCCATTGCTACCATTGTCCAAGGGTTTTTGCAAATTCATTAGGTATCCATTCCAAACTAAGCATTAACGACCATTAAAAGAATGAGTTGTACAAAAGTAATTATTCAAGCAAGTAGATTTACATTGTCTAGCATTCCTCGCCATCACTAATTGGGAATCACTAGGTAACATAACGTGGGAATTTGCCAAAAACTTATCTTTTCCTACCGAACTATTCCCTCATGACAGATTGTTCTTTCTCACACAGCCACCAGAATAATCCTTCATATTCCAATCCTTTTCCAAGTTTTTCACAAATCCAGGCTAACAAAAATGGAATGGAGTTGAATACTAATTGCAGATAAAAAATGTCCCATGATAAGAGTGTAAAATATGATATTTTTCCCTCTTAATTGTTGCATTTCTATGATTATTTGATGTCAAAATACACTCATTATGCTTATGTTATGATTCATCTTGAATTTTGGTAGAATATGTGAAACTTGGGAGAAAAGATCGAAAATTGACAAAAATGGACGTGAAAGTTCAGGGACCAAAATGCAAATACTCCAAACTTGTGTCTAACCTTATGATGAAGATTTGAAAGTGTTAGAGATCAAGTGGATGAGGAAAGAAGTCAAAGGATGAAATAACATCAAAGTTTGATCACACATCAATTCCCAATCGAAAAAGTTACGCTCCGATTTTCAGCCTCATATTGGGACCTATTTTTGACATAGAAAACGATTGAATTTGAAGACGATGTTTGAATCAAATTTGTAGTCCTTTGGGTTATCTTTCCAACAAAATTTGAATCATCTCAATCAAATATCAAGAGAGAAATTTATGACCAAAATAGTGAAAGCTGTCCGACGGAAAAAAGGGAAACTATGCGGTCGCATAGAGTAAATTCCATGCTGTCGCATCCACCGTCCCAAGGAAGTCATGGCCGTGTTTTGAATGTACCATGGGACCGCATCACTTATAATTATGCCGTCGCAT